AAAAACATTATTAAAATGTAACTTGTCAATTAATTTTACTATTGTTTTGCTGAACTTAATAAAATTCATATAAATTCGGTTTAACCCAGGTTATTCGAGTCAAATTACAGTCGGGTTGAGTCGAGTTCAGGTTACATAGTTGACCGACCCGAAAATTCGAGTCGGGTTACATGAATATTTGAGTCGAGTTCGAACATCCCCTCAAATCAGACCTAATCCGACCCGTACGGAGCACTAATTGGAACGCTGCAGGCTGCAGCAATTACTGTGGTTTAGCTTCAAATTTCGGGTTGAGTTTCTTCAAAATTAAAAGGAGTATATATTATTTTTATTCTTATAACCTTTGTATAATTTTGATTCATTTTATTATTTTTATTTTCATTTGATTCACTTTGTACCGTAGCAATCAAAAATATTCCCTTATGCTTTTCGATCACTTTAAGAAGTATTATTGATTTTTTTTTCAATTTTATTTTTTTTATTCATTTTGTCCAAATAACATAAAAAAAGGAAATTATATTAAAAAGCGATTACGCCTCAGACCTTCCTATTAAAATGTTAAACGGGTTCTCACGAAAATGGGTGTGATTTTCATGATTTACATAATGGCTTTTTTTTGTTAATTCATCATTGTAAATTGCTAAATGAGGTTGGAATTTCAGAAGCAAGCAAAAGAGTATAGATGTTCGATTTTAACTCCAAATATCCAATTTTAGAAAGAAGTTAACTTTATTTGTAATACAAGAAGCGGTTATCCAAGCAGACTAGATTATTTAAGGTAATATTACCACTTGGAAAAAATTTAAACCGAGGGCTGAGGTAATTTTACATGTAATTAACATTGAAATAACCACCCAAACAATTTAAATAAAATAATCCACCCAAAAAAAATGGTTTTAAAAAACAATTTAGAAAAATCCTTAAAAGACTTGGAAAAGAGGATTAAAGAATTGGAGCAAAGTAACGAAGGGTTACGTTCACAATTGAAATATTTTGAAGAAAAAGTTAGAGAGCGAGAAGGATATATTAATAATTTAGAAGAAAAGGTTAGGGAACGAGAAGAAGAGTCCAAAGAAAACCAAGAAAAAATAAATGAATTAGAAAAGAGAATCAACAATCTTGAATTAATTATTTACGATGATACCATTGTTAGTTTGACTATTACAGATACTAATAAGGATAGCATATTGAAAACCTTAGGAGCATTGCAAAGATATCGAAAATTGACAAAACTCTATTGCTCTCAAACTCAAATAACTAGCTTACCAACATTGCCAAACTCCTTAGCAGGACTCGTTTGCGATCAAACTCAAATAAAAAGCTTACCAACATTGCCAAACTCGTTAACGGGACTCGATTGCCATCAAACTCAAATAACAAGCTTACCAACATTGCCAAACTCCTTAACATTACTTCGGTGCGATCAAACTCAAATAACAAGCTTACCAACATTGCCAAACTCCTTAACGGGTCTCGCTTGCTCTCAAACTCAAATAACAAGCTTACCAACATTGCCAAACTCCTTAACGGGACTCATTTGCCATGAAACTCAAATAACAAGCTTACCAAATTTACCCGATTCCTTAACGAAAATCTATCCTCCAAATTTAAAATATCAATTATCAAACTAACACTTGATAAAATTTAGCAATTTAGTTGTTTTATTTAACTAAAATTCATAACTTTTTCAACTTAAATAATAAAATGATCAATTGACTTATTGTTCAAGTAATTATACAAGCAAGCAAAAAAATAATTGATTACCTAATCATTTCTTTTATCAATAAAATATATATTTGTTTCTAGATGAGACGAAAAAAAAGATTTATTTTATTAATACTGAATCTATTAAATAGGTTATGATTATATCGTAACATCTAAGGTTGCCGGGCAAAACCCAGAGGTTTCTGACAGACATCGAAATTGAAACCGTCGAAACTTTTTGCAAAATATTTTTATTAAAGGCAAAGTTGCGAAAGTTTCAACGGGTGGCAAAAGTTTTGACGTATTGCAAAACCCATCGAAACCTTCTGATATTAAAATACAATTTTTGAATTTTTTAAAAATATTATTTTTGTTTTACGAGAAGAGCAAATTGTATATATCATATATTTATATATATAAAAAAAAATTAAAAGATTTACATATAGAAATTGAATTAATTTATCTCCTAATTAGTATTTTCTTCATTTAAACTCATGACAGTATTCTATCTTCTTCTTTATCCGTTAAAAAAAAATACTAAATAAAATAAAATAATGATAACATATTGTTTCTTCCTAAATGGTTGATCAATTTACAAAACCGTTAATAAATATAAAAGAAAAAATATCGACATTCTATAATAGGACCCAAGAGAAGGTATTCAAATTTCCTCTATCTAAAAATGTTTCTTTAAAAAGATCAATTGAACAAGATTGTTGGACCACTAAGCAAGACGCAGTCAATCATAATGGTTAGATAATGGTTAGCATACAAAAGCAAAATGTCGACAATTTGATTTAATTATATGCAATTTTCAAACGATCTGAGGCCATTTGAAGGTTATTTGCCAAAACTGAAATATAATTAACTATTAATTATAATAAATAAATCTTTGAATTGTTCGGTGATTTCTTGCGTTATGAAATGCGGAATATATCGGGTAAAATATTTTCTAAAGTTCTTTTATTTCAAGTTGAATCAGAATATATCAAACCTGATCTCAGTTAATAATTATAATTTAGCCATTTAGTCAGAATTAAGAATTGTTTTATAAAATCAAATTTGTAAATTTACTTTTTTTGCGTGGCGTGTAATCCTCTAAATGAAATAAATTACTAATTATAATATAAATAAAAAATACATGCCAACTTCGTTAAGGTGATGATGTTATTGATATAAATATAAATACAAATTTTGATCTTTAATAAAACAAATACATTAAAATTACAAACAGAGAACGCGGTGCTCTAATAAACCTAAAACCTAAAATAAAATCAAATAAATTCCATAATCAACCGACTAAAAATATATTACTAGATAATAATACTAGTACCCAGGTTGCACGTGAGGACGTCATTACTCCGCAAACCAAGTAAAATGTAGCATCATTCAAGCAAAGTTCCCTGTCTATACAAATGGAGAGTGAGCCTATGGGTTTCTATCTAATTTTTATTATTCTATCTCGCTTTTCATTTTTATGCTCCATGTATTTCTACTTTGCGGTTTGTTACACCAGTTCTGTCCTTCTGGACGTTTATAACCAGTTCTGGAGTCTGGTAACCAGTTTTTTTGGTTGAGGTTCTTTGACTGAAAAGAGACGTAACCGCGACCTCATACAGAACAGTAGACCTTTTGCAGCTGTTGCCCAAAGAAAGTTCTGGTTATATATATAAAATTGGGGTAGAATGTGCTCGCGAAAGGGGAACAACGCAATAAAAAAAAGTAATTTTTGTTTTTTTTTAAATCCAGGTATAAAATATAATAAACTGTCACTTGTTGCAATTTTACAAAATTTAGCAACGATTCCTGATTAAACATAACTATTTCATGCAAAGTTAAGTTTCATGAATAAATATATCACGTTTATCATTTTTTATTGGCATCAAAAGACATATATTACTGAAATATAATTTTTATTTTCATGTCATTGGATATTTGACCCCATGAAATCCGATTGGATAAAAAAAAACTAGAATTGGCCAATGAGATGTATAGCCTGAATTGCAAAATTTTCATGTTTAGCAAATAAAAAAAAAAAGCAATGCTTATACTCAACATGAAGTCGCAACAATTACCTTTGCAAATCAGAGTTTTCAAAATTGAAAATAGATTAAGTAACCGTTAACTTCTTTCTTTACCTATGTCTTGATTCATATTCTTCAATCTTCAATATCGATTTAATGAATTGCTAATGCTAAATAGAGGAAGAACATGAAAGATTCTATTTCTATTTTTATTAATATTTTTTTTATTTTATTTTTTTATAATAAACAAATTTTTACAAATGTAGATTCACTATAAAAAAAAAATGATATTATAGCATTCTTTTACAAACATTATTATTTATTTCGATCGGAAATATTTTTTAAGACACAATTCAATTTCAATAGATACAATTCTAAGTCTTAGTTATTAACTTTTTAAGATCTTTCAAAATACCATTTAATACACAAATAATAGAATTACGCGATTCAACAACCTAATAATTTGAAGAGAAAAGATCAAGTTAATCACTTTATCATCAAAAAAAAAATTAAATTAAAAACACTCTTACAGGAAAAATCACACAAGCAATAGAACCACAAATGGCCCAAATTGTAGAAAGAGCAACCCAAAACGTAAAAAATGGTTTTGTGAACACATATTTTGAGAAATACATTGGTAAAGGCCAAATTATTATCAAGATGATTGTCAATACAACAGAACTGGTAACAGCAAATTTAAAAGCCGCCTTTAACCTAACAGGATCCCTTTCAATTGGATCATCGTAGGTGGTTTTAGAAAATTTTTCATCATCTACTAACACTTTCAACTTGTTTCTTGTTTCTTCAAAATCAAAGTTGGCAGGTTTAATCAATGACATAATTGTAGCTATTAATCCTGATACGAATAATGATACCCTATAATAAAGAGAACAATTATATATAAAAAGTTTACACGCCGCCGGAAAAGCATATATAAATAATTATCTTACAGGTTTCCGGTTAACATAGAATAATTCTTGCCGGTAGAATAAATTGTAATTTCACCATAAAGGGATTTGGCTGTAATAAGCCATGATGAAATACCGCAAATAACACCTATTAAAGCAGCAGAAACCGCAGCAGTACCACTTTGTTTTGACCATGCGATTGCGTATGCAACAGGAACGACAGCAGGGGAAGAAATAATTCCCGAAAGTAAATACGCATATCCTAGATCGATATTAATGAAACCAAGCGCGGTAGCCAATACACCCATAATTATACCAAATGTAACAACAGAAATGTGCGATTGCCGAATAACTTGTTTTCCAAGAGCCTAATGGATTAATATAAAACGAATTTAAACGAATATTTTTTTATGGAGTAGTTCAAGAGTTAATGGCCTCATGTAAAATTCTTACATCAGGGCGAAAATATGTACGATAGATATCATAAGTGTAAATCGATGAGACGGCAGCAAGTTCTGCTGAAGCCGCAGACCTATAAGAAAAGTTTGTTAAAAACAATAATAAAAAATAATGTTCTCGCAAAGTTTAATATCAATACATACGTGACAGCCATGAAAACCAAGACCAACACAGCGAAAGAACCAGCCTTACCTAAAAGAGCAGTAGCAGCCAATGGAAGTACTAAACCTGCAGAAATATCACTTTCTGAAAGAGGTTCTAATTTACCGGCTCCAACAAGAGCAACACCAGCGATACCCATAGTTGTAGCCAAGGTGAATGGAATTGCGAACCATGATAGGCCTCCAATCAAATACGCCTTTACGGTTGATGAAGGTCTAGCGGCGATAGCACGCTGCCAATAAGCATTATCCGCAAATAGGGTCCCGAAACTACCAACAATATTGATAATCCCAAAAATTAAACCTTGTAAAGATGCCAAAGTTACATATGAGCCTTTCTCATTATCAGGTACAGGGTTTTCTTCAGAGACATGGACTAACATATCGTACATTTTTGATGGGGAACCGATAATATCAGATGAGCAGTAAACATTGAATAAGAAGGAAAGAATAATTATATATATAACACTAGTGTGCACGTAATCAGACAAAAACGTTGCTTTTAGACCGCCAAATAATGTATAAATCGTTACGCCAAGTGGAAGTAAGAAGTTAGATGCAATGACGTGGACACCAGTAAGCGAATTTAAGACTGCTGAACCACCGAGTATCAACATAGCGGTTACGATCACTAAATTAATTAGGAAAATTTAAAAATGATATTTATTTTCGACAAAGTTATAAGACGTTCATTTACCATTAGTGGCCAAACCGAAGAATAGAAAGACAATGTGGGCTACCATTCCATAGCGAACGTTAATAATTTCAAGGAAAGTATGTGCATTCGGGGCCTTTCGTTTAAGTTCGATCGCAGTTATAGTGAAAAGCAGTGTCTATATTAAATAAGTCGGTTAGTATGAAAAAATGATGTTCGTGTAACTACAAATTCGTATTACTGTAATTACCTGAATGGTAGCACCAGAAGCATACCAGAAAGGTCTAAAAAGACGTTAATTTCTTTAAAAGCATGATTGAACATTAAGATGTTTACTTACCCAGATACGCCATATCTATATGCTTCAGAAGATGATTGTAAAAGTGTGGCAGCCCAAGTCATAGATGAAACCACAGCAGAGGCTACAAGACCAGTTTTTACAGAACGTTGAGCTGTCATAAACATTTCAGAAGTTTGTTCTTCTTGGAGATATCGTTTTTGGGCCATCGTCACAAGTGTCATTACAATAGCAAAAAATGTGCCGAATCCCAAAACTATACAAGAAAGTGATTATGTATTAATTTTTTAAAAAATTTGTAATCGAAAAAGATAGCATAATTAATTACCGGTTCCCCAACCAATTCCTTGATCGAGAATAGTCTCAGCCATTTCGTAAAAATATTGAAAAATTTAGTCAAAATTTGATTTTAACGATAGAAAATATAAATATAAATACTTTTAAAAATTTTGGTTATCATATGGGTCACTTCAATTATGTCACCTATGGGTCCGTTGATCTCTATCACCATAGTCAATTTTGTTTATTGCCAATTTCACGTGTAATATCAACAAGTACGAACAAAAAAGATTTTTAAAAAATTTTCGTTCAAGAGAATTCAAAAAGAAAATAATTTATTATTTTAATCACAACTTAACAAAATAAGAATCTTTTGCAGTTCAGTTAAAATAAACATCTTGACTATTTTTACAAAGTAAAATCATTAAAAATGAATCACAGAAGACTGAAAACTATAATTAAATAACATAATTCATTCAAAAATTATTATCCAAGCTTTCCATGATCCAATTTGAATAATTTTTAATCTTCTAAGAGAGCAAATATGACTCTTTCTAATATCACTAAAATTGTCTTAATCCAACATGTTAATCTATAGCTATAACTATTTAATAATCTTGTCATGATAATGAATAAAACAATAAAAGAAAATTCTATAAAACCTGTAATTCTGGAATTTATAAGAGTTATTTCTGCCATTTCACCAAATAACCTCTTTCTAATATTCATTTCCAAAAAAAGATACCAATTCCCACAGGTTCCAATTGACTTAAATACGAAATCATAACGTACGTCATCTTTTTGTAATTGGAATGTCGATCAAAATTCATATTTATCACTTAAATTTAAGATCGGCCCATATGACTTTGACCATCCAACGTGTTATCTGATTTACTTGGTTGATCATTCCCTTTTTTGTTATGATTTTTATACTGTAAATTTTTTATAAGGGACGGAATAGATCGGCGACAATATTATTAACTTCGGCCTATCTCTTCCTTTCAAATTGTCCCTTTTATTTATTATTTGTCATTTTAAATGTAGATTGATCAATATGTAATTTGCAAAAGAAATAACTGAAAACTTGATAAAATATTTTATCAAAATAACCCATACATTTTCTACAAAATAACTCGTTTAAATTAAAAAAAAAATAAACATTCAAAGGTAAGATACTCGATAAAAAATCCTTACAAGGAAAAAGTCAATTCAATATTATTATTATTTATTTCATTTGGAAAATACATATAATATATAGTAAAAATAGTAACATAATCTCAATATCTATGATTTGAAATTGAAATTTAATTATTATTAAACATTTTTCGGGATTTATTTATCCAAAGCAATTAAATTCTGTTAAGGAGGTGGGTAGTGTTGTTATGATAGTTATTAAAGTTTAGAGCAGTTAAGGAGTTGGGTAAAGTTGGCAGGTTAAAGCGAAATGTAGCTTGGTTAGTTGATTCAATATATGGAGACCTCTACAGCAAAAGCCAGGGCTCAGCTAAATTTTTGTTTTTGAAAATTTATTATAATTACATATTAATTAACCTAATGTTTCAGAAAAGTAAAGTAATTTATATATAAATATTTTATAATTTATAATTTTTGTATTTTTCTTTTATTATATTTAATGAATAATATAAACCTGCTAGAAAAAAATCTAATAATTTAATGAATTCCTTGCAAATTTTATCCTAGTTTGCAAAAATTGATTTTAAAAATCTGAAATAAATTGCGATTTATTAAATTAACCATCACGTGATTTTCCGAGCCCCGGCTTTTGCTGTGGGGGTCTCCATATGTGATGTTTTAAAGAACGTTTCTTTAAAAAATAAATTTGAAATGTATCAGGTTAAGTTTCGGATATTGCAAATTACTGCGGTTAAGGGATGAACATTTATTTATATATTTATACTTTTTATTACACTGTTGAGAAATCATATTAACAAATTTAGTGTCTAATTTACTTTTTTTTTACAATAGTTTTCACAGTACATTCCGTATAAAAAAATCCATGATCACAATTTCGAATAACTTTTTTTTTTATATTTTATAATTATTCGATAAAAATTTATTGACTAATCATTATAGTAAAATGTCATAATCTTTTCTATTAAGCTGGTAAGCGATTTAAGAGTATAAATAACACACGATGCGAGCTACTGCGCCATCAAATCACGAATTTTTTATTGTTTTTGTAAAAATTAAATCCGATCAAATGTTGTTTAATTCATTCTGAAAGGTGAGTTGATTAATTTTAGTAATTTAATGCAAGTTGACCGTACCAGTGTATAATGTTTTTATTATTTATTGTGAACTTTGAGTACGATATAGGGATTGAAATCGATTCACAATGTATAGAACCGGTACGAATTTAAAGAATTAGTATATCTCGGAAGTTGACTTGGCCGCGCTTTACATTTCTTCGAAATCTGAGTGGTGCATTTTTTTAAAATAGATCAAAGTACAGTAGTATATACAGCTATGATGATCAAGAAGGAAAATAATGTATGACAATGACAAAAAGAAATAGTAAATATGATCTTGCAAGCTTGCGATAACGAGTTTAATAATAATACATAATAAAAAAAAAAGGAATAATATTTACGCTACTGTAAAAATGTTACATTTCTTGTTTTCATTTCCCAAAATTGACTTCAAAATTTTGACTTTTTATTCACGCGATCAAATATATTGAAAGTTTGCGGTTATCCTTTTTTTTTCTTTATAAAGAAACAAAGAAGCGGACAAGTTTTTGAGAACATCTTTCTCGTCGTACCTTATTCAAAATTATGACCAAGTTATAAATGTTCTTTTCTTTATCGTATCACAAAAAATTCTCATAATGAACCATGTCCACATTGAATAAACCGTCACGGCTCTTATCTTTCTTTCAGCGACTTTTAAAAAAATTTTACTTTTGCCGTAGCTGATATCTGGATTTCTTTAATGATACCCTATCATTATCGACAATAGATTTCCTCTCATCATTTCGTGAAATATGGACGAATATCCCTTTATTACAAAAATTATTTCTCCTTGATATTTACTCCAAAGCGTAACTGAATATTGCATCTATTACCTTTCTACGAGACTATCTTTACTTAGATTTCTTAACTAATTCCCTTTTCCACTTCTTTTTTTAGAATTTATTTTTAAAATTGATGAAGATACCTGGAAACAAACTTTTATTCGTGTTCCGATTTCAAACTCTTTCTTCTTCCTTTTTCTCCCGATAAATAACAACTCATATTGACAAGACTAAAAAAATTCAAAATAAATGTGCTGTATCTTATTAACGTTAATATTCTTAATTTTATAAGTCAACAACGAAGAAGTGGGAGCGGCAAATACGGGTATATAATCAGTTGATTTTCGTAACATTTTTTTTTTTTAATTTTCTTCTCAATAGTGATGGGGGGACCGACTTTAATTGTAACTACAATTGATACAACTGCTCGTGAACGTAAGGATCTGCGATTTCTGAAATAAGAATTGCTATGCATCTTCCCTTATGTTTATAAAACAGCTTCACGAGTGGGTGCTCACGTAACCCGTTTCCTGTTGGATATCCCCCATCCTTTTAGCGCAGGCGATAGTTGACTGAACCTATTGAATCCCCATCCTTGGAACGAAGTTGATACTTGTAAGTTACTATTTTATTTATTATATTTCTTTCTGATCTTTTTAGCCTTGTCATATGAGTTGTTATAATTGTACTCGTATAATTTAAATAAAAACATAAATAAAGTTTAACATGATTTTTTAAAAAAATGGTTTTAATGTAATTATATAAATAAAGTTTCTATGATATATTTTCATATTTGTATAGCGAATAGGTCACATAATAAATAAGTTACTGATGTACAGTAATTTTTTTATTGAAGTGCGTACTTTTTTTCCCGGTATAAATATTGAAAGTTAATGATATTTTCAAAGAATTTTACACCAAAAATACATAGAAATATAAAAAAAAAATCACGCGATTCCAATTTGTGTGATAAAAATCACATGATCACAGATTTTTGTAAAGCGCGATAAATAAGCATTTGAAAAATTACTACAAGAAAAACCTCAACAGGGACGATTATTACGTACGTTCACAAGTAGCTGAAGAATAGGCAGTGGTGAAGGTAGTATTCTGTATTATTATGAAGCATTTGATTAGATTTATCTTTATAATATTTTGTAATTTATATAATAGGTGATGAAGCTGAAGCGGAAGAGAAAGAGACTGATGCATATTATTTAGTTTAACCAGTCGATGTTCTGTAAAAATTGTCCAAAGAATTTTATACCGGATTTGGTCAGAGATATTAAATTTAATAATAGATTCTTGAAATAACATCATATAATTAGAAATTAGTAAGGCTCCGAGGATTGTGGATAACTATTGACTGCTTGCATTGTAAAGATGTGAGAATATTTTGTAAAAATTAAAATCATGTAGCGAGAAAGTTTACTTATGTGTTACTTTGAAAATTATAGCGTATGTAGTTATGGGTTTACGTGAAGCTTTTGCAAAATATTAACAAACGGTAATGTTCAATTTATTATTTGTTTATATTGAATCTTTTATTAAGCTATTATTATTTTTCTATAGACCGTATACCCATGATAGAAAACTATTAAAGAAATAAAACAAAAATGTGGTTGATGCTTTGGCTTCGACATTGGATGGCGTATTTTAAATGTAAATTTTATCGGGTCATTTTGACTTTACAATTATTAATCTAATTAATTATTTTACTATTTGAGTTACAATATTTGAAGACATATTGGCGGCCGGAAACACAAGAGCCCACAAATTAATCAAGTGTCTATTAAATGGCTTATCAGTTAAAATAAATTCTATATTTGCATACAAAAGGCTGAAATCTAATCTTTACCTGAAATAATGGTGAAAGCTTCTGACAACAATTTTGAACTCAACTTTTGAATAATTGGGAACAAGAGTGAAAGTCATTGGTGAGAAGACGATGAGCGCTTTCTTGGAAGGGCTTGACGATATTAAAAAAAGGGAAAAGTCAAAAAATGAAATGTTATGAAAAGGCCAAATTTAAAAGTAATATCTCAAGCATCCACCTCCAGCAAAGCAGATGCACCTAAGGGAATAACCTATGGCAAAAAATGAAGCCGTGTGTCGTATTTTCGGAGTAGTTAATTTAATCTTTCTTTGATATGCTATAGAATAGTTCAACTCATTTTTCCCTTTTTTAAAGGGATATGCATTTAAGTAGGCAGCTCCTGTTGGAAATCAGCACCAGCAGTAAAGCCAGGAAGTCCTTCAAAAAAAGCTTGTACTAATGCTGTTGCCCATCTTTTCCAAATAGAGTGGAAAGAATTATCAAGTACAAGTTTACTAGCGAAATTGTAGAGTCCATGTTTGCTAAATTTTATTTCTGAAGAATAGACTGTCGGTTTGTGAAAAGAATTGGAAATTGCAAGTTATTTTAGTATATTGGAACTATGCGGCTATTTTATTTTTAAATTAACCATTAAGAAGTTAGATCAGTCTGATTTATAACGTTTTTTCCTATTAAACCTAGATGTGAAAGAAAGTAATTTACTTTCTGTCAAAGAATATATACTATTTATTGTCATATGAAGCATATATTAAAATATATTATATAACTACCAAAAAACCAACTTTTAGGCTTATTTATTTACTTCTGCTAAGTAAAACAACATCATCTTTAACACAAGGAGAACTTTGATTGTCTTTTCTTGGGATATTTATTTCATTAAAAAATCATATGAGGATTAACTCATAATCAAAATAGCAGGTAGCAACTACTATTTTACAAAAGTTAGAAAAATATTGGAAATTGCATCTTTCAGAATCTTCAATTTCTGCAATTTTGGATTCATGGAAGAGAAAAAAAAGAGCAAAATACTAGATTTATATAATCTATATAAAATATATAAACCAGATTATATAGTTTTAAAAAATACATCAACTAATTTATTAGGGTTAACTTTACAAAATTTTTTTTAAATATTATTAATCCAAAATTTAATTCATATTCTAATTCTAATCTAAACTTTGAAGAAATTGAATATTATCTTAATGCTCTTATAGATATTAATTCAAATTCATTATTATGATGAAAATCTCATCAAAATAAATATCTGATTTTATCTAAAATTTCATGTGATTATTTAGTAATTTAAATAACAAGTATTTATTTAAAGTAAGCTTTTTTTATTACTAGTAATATAATTACAAAAACACACAATAGATTACATCCTAAAATAGCTAAAGCATACCTTTGTTTAAAGAATTAGATTCAAATAAATTATTAAAGAATAAAATAAATAAGAAAATTTAAAAAAAAAGCAAAGGGTCAGAAGTAAAATTATCATAATTATAAATAATTAGTTTAAATAGAATATATATTAATATAATATATAATTATAATTTTAAAATTTAATAAATATTATTTAAAAAAATATATTTTTTTATGACATTTAAATTTTATTTATTAAAAATTTTTATTAAAGTAAATATCTAAAAGACTGATCTAAATTAAAAGAATAATGATCTTATGAGACTATTAGTCTAAAATTTAAATTTGAATAAAAAAAAATTTTTTGATTTTTTTTCAAAAACTACTAAAAATTAAATCAAATCAAACTATTTATAATTCTAGAGAGAATATAAAAAATAAAAAAATAAAAAATAAACTAAAATTAATATTTATATAAAGAATTAATTTTAGACAATCAGATATAATGTAAAAAGATTATAAGATTTATCAATATATAAGATCATGTAAACAAGTTAAAACCATAAAATAAATATAGTAATAGATTATATAATGCAGATTATTTAAAAGCTAAACAGTCCAAATTTTCTTTTTTTGCTGATTACAGATATCACATAATCTTTATTTAATTAAAAAACAATCATGTGATTAAGATTATCATGTGATTAAACAACAAGTTATCAATTTATTGATATTAGTTTAATTTATTAAACTATAAAATTAAAATAAAAAAATTTTAAAAAATTGTATATATTTAATTTATTATATTTAATTTTTCTAATACATTTCAGAAATTTTTCTGTGATTTATATTTTTTAATAGCATATTTTGCAAATTTACATGTATTTTTATATCTATATAAATTCATATATTATCATATTTTTCTGTAAATTTATAAATAATTATTAAATCTATAAAGTTTAAAGTATAAGAAACTGTTTTCTGCAATCCATTCTATATATAATTACAATTATTTTGTGTATTTCATTTGACTACTCCCTAATAGCATTTAATAAATTCAATTCACAAAGAAACTTTGGAAATATATACAAATATGATCAGTATTTTTAATTGTTTCAACTATTATGAATTTCTGAGCTAAAATTTTGGTTAAAAAGATATAGTCTACCTTTTATAACAATCTACATATAAAGGATCATTAATTTTGTTTTTACATAATTTGCATTTTCTTACCATTTTTTTTTTTACAAATTTCACACAATCAAAACTTATTTTATACTTTTTAGCTAGCTATCAAAAAAATTCATACTTTGTTTTTTATTATTTGTATCCTAAAAGTATCACATATTTTTGTTACATTTCCATCAGGTCTGATATATATTTTCTTTGCAACTAATATATCAAAAGTAAATATAGAATGATTTAAACTATTATCAAAAATAAATACTTTAATATAATTTAAAAATAAAGCCTTAAATATTAGAATAGCTTTATATTCAACTTATTTAATAAAATACTTAGCTATCCAGTATCTTTCATTATTCTTTTCTAGTTTTAAATATACTTATGCTTCTTCTAAAACATCAGGATAATTCTTGACTTATTTAATAGTTAGTTTAAGTCTTTCACAAGTTTTAGTTAAAAATTTACTATCATAATTGATTTTTCGTTACCTTTTTTATATAATGGTAACTCATTTGACTTAGCTCATTCATATTTTACATTTTCTATCATTTGAGTAAAAGGTGCATTCATCATAAACTATTAAAATATATTTTTACTCTTCTGCAATTAATAAAAGAACAACTTTTTCCATGTTATTTTCTTTATATATTGCCATATATTTTACAAGTTTAGCTATTTTTAATAAAAAACATCCTTTAATATTTTATAACATCTTTTCTCTTATGCTTATCATAATATATTTCTCATTTTTGTTATTAATAATAATATATAAGTACATTTAATATTGTCTTATAATAATTATACTAATTATATTTTTTATTAATACTTGCTTTTAGTAATAAGATATCCTAAAAAATTCTTTAAATTGATGCAGAGTTGTATAGCTTCCATTTTTTCAAATCTACTTATAACACATTTCAACAATACCTTTATCATTAATAATTCTGTTAACTTTTTAATGTTTTTCTTAATAAAATAGAGGTAGAGACTTATTAATACACTAATATTTTACTATTTGCTGAATTCAGGTAACCTTCATTTACTATTACTATTATATATCATATTTACATTCATATTTGCCTTCATTCTTTTTTCCTTTTGATAAATGTATAAGATATTCAAATATAGCTCTTTTTTTTTATATATTCTTTTGTAAATATTCTATTAAAATTTTCTTTTAAATCTCTTTTCAAATTTGAAATCATATCTTCTGATAACTAGTCAAATGTAGAGGTTTCTCTTTCATCTGATGAAATATCTTAAGAACTTTCTTGCATTAATTCAACTTGCTGGCTAAAAAAATCTTTCTAGTTTTAGATTTCTTTTGTTGCTTCTATTCACGAATTACTAGATTTTCATTTATTATAATGAGTTGATTTTGATGTCTTACTTATTTTATAAAAATTATATTTTTTTATTTCTAATTTGGCAACTGATTTTCATTTAAATCTAAAATCTATCTTCAAAAGTCTATTCTGTATATCTTATTCTGTTGTTGAATTAATATCACTTCTCCAATTACTTACCTTATTATTTTTTTAATCTCTCTCACTAAAAATATTATTCTAATTTATTTTTAATTGTACCTCTAATATATCCATATTTGCATTATTCTCAATTCTAAAAAAAAATTAATCTAAATAATGTATTCTTTCTTATAAATAAATTAAATAATTTATAAAACTTACTTAGTATTTATACTAAATTTTTTTCTTATTATGATTTTTGTTTTTCATTGCAGTTTTTTTTTGATAAATCAAGATATGTCTAAAGAAAATTTTTTTAAAAAAAATTACCAATCATTTTACATTATATTATATTACACATATTTTATTAGATAAATTTTATGTGATTAAATTTCAATGAATAAAATTAATATCATATGATAAGATCAATGTTCAAAATTTAAATACTTAATAAGAAAATTTATAAATTTCAATTATCTAAAATCAAAAACTTTTTAATCAATTAAATATTTAAAACTATAATTTTTATTCTTCATTATCTGATCTATCATTATTAATGATAATTTTTTATTTATAACATATAAAACAAAAGTTTTAGGATTTTAAAGTTAGGCAATTTTATTTTTATTTATAGATGATCTATACCATAAGAGAAAGAAAAATATTTTTTATACATTTTTTATAAAATTCAAAGACAACTTTACTTTTAATAAAAGTTTATTAATTTTTTATTAATTATTATAATTAAATATATAATTAAAAAGAATAAAATTCTATATAAAAAACTGTAATTATAATTTTTATTTATTATATAAATTACTGTTTTATATAATTATAAAATATAATAAAAATCTAAAAAAAAAAATTTTTAAAACTTTTAAAAAAATTAATTATAAAAAATAAAGTAAATAACTTTTAAACATTTTATTTGTTACTTTTTTTATAAATATAGTATTTCATAATATACATTTATATTAATATATTATTTTCAAAAAAAATAAAAAAAATTCAAAAATTAATATAGTTATGAAAAATAACTATTACTGCATGAATATTAAACTAATCTTAATAAAATTTTATATACAAATAGTATCAAACTTGTTAAACAATTTTACTTAACTTTAACTAAAATACTTAATATTTGTCATAAAATCTTTATATTAATGTTATAAATAAAATATTAAATATACAGTTAACTCTTGATATAACGAACTCTTGATATTAAAAATGATCTTTATAATTATTTTTAAATTTCAATTGAGTTATAACTCAATTATACTATTTTTTTAATTGCAGTAATCATCTTTACTTGATATAATAAATTTTTTGAATAAATATAATAAAAAATACTCTTGATATAGTGAATTAATCAATTAAATCTCTTAAAATCTTCACTATAGCCTTATAATAAAGTTAAGGTCTAGAACATAAAATTTATTATAATAAAAGTTAACTGTATTATTAATAGAGTAATTAACTAATAATAATAAAGTTAT